TTTACAATTGTTTATCAAGTATTTATCAACTATACAAAACTATTTAACTATTAAAAAACTAATAATTGTCTAAATTGTGTCAACTATCAAAATTAAAACATGTCTAAAAGTAAACAAAAACCTCGCAAGTTCTCCACAAATAGGTTGCCCAACGTGCGGATGTCTTTAATTTAACTTCAGAAAATGCATCCGAATTGTCGAACATCTAAAATTTGATTCATAAAATAGGCATATTAATCAATCTCAAATAACATAATAAAATAAAATTTTTAAAAATATATTTACCTCTTTTGTAAATTCGGTTCTGCCTAATGTGATAATATTGAGCATGTATCTCATGACATATAGACCGCACAAGTTCGTCTTCACTAATTGTCTATGACTCTTATAAGAACAAATCATAAAAAATTAGTAAGAAATCTTAATAATTGAACATATTTAAAGTATAGCATCACCTTTGGCTCAATCCATGTGGGATCCTTGAGCTCATGTCTATGCTTTTGTAAGACTACATTTTGATGTGTTCTCATTACCCTATGATCAAGATTACCAAGTTAGTAAAAATATTCAAAAAAATTAAATTAAATAGTTTAGTAAAAGTATTCTTACAAGTCTATCGTCTTCTTCATTTCTTTCCCAAGTTTGTAATGGAGGGAGCATAAAAAGATGATAGTATTGCTCTTCATTGAAAGAACAAATAACTGCCAATGGTCCCTGCTAAATATGATACAAGTTAAAGTAAATCCATATTAAAAAACTATTAATTATAAATTGATCCTTACGAGTGCACATGGAGCCATAAAAACGTCCTTTTTGACTTCACATATTCTCTATTGGAGGTACGCAGCCCTTAACTCTGAAGTATTACCTTTCTTGTCATGTGATGAGGGCAAAGGAATCCAAACTATCACCTTTGCCCGATGTAATGCATAAATGATGAAGATACCTACAACAATGCAATTATATTAGTTTACTAAACTTGATGATAAGTTTACTTACAACAATGCAATTATATTAAAGAAAAATACTTACATCATAAATAGTTTAATACGTAGTGTGGTAAGCTGATTATTCAACAGAAGTCGAACCAAATCTTCTTGTTCAATTGTCACTATCATGTCTTTCTTACCCATAACGTCCGGATCTATTTCTAAAATCTTGAATTTGAATGATAAATCATACACCATTAAGATCATTTGCTGATGCGGAGTCAACGAGGCTTGTGGAAGCTTTGAGAGATTCGACGAGGAAAGCTTCTACATAATAAAAAGGAAAGAAATAGTTAATAAAAAACATATATTAGGAAGTTGCTACATAATAAAATTCATGAAATTTCGTACCACAGCTTGAACCAGATTCACAAGTCTCTTGGGCCATAGGATAAAATTGCCAATAGCTTCAACCACGGTCTTCACCTCATCAGTTGGATATAGAACCAAAGCATCTGGCACTTTTAAATCTGCAACCACCACTCTTACTTGATCATCTTGAATTTTCTTGTGGTAGATGGTTGACCGCAAGCTGTAGATGCTACCAAGAGCAACCAAGCGTTTATCAGGATCTTCTAGAAATATCTCACATGGTTCACCAATGTTGTCACCAGAAGGACCCTCTGACACACGCTCAAAAACATTACTCCCTTTTGTACTATGAAATGCAAGAGACGTATAAACTAGTTCAGCAGTTGTCTCCTGTCGAGAGCTCATCATGCTCATCATCTCCTCCTTCATTTGCTCTTTCATTTATAGAAGCCGAGCTGTAAATGAAGCTTCAAACTCATCCTTAGTCTGCTGCCTCACAGTAGATATCAATGTATCAAGCTCTTCTCTAGTCACTACACCTCTTGAATTGAGACGTGCAGGTGCTCCAAAGTAGTCCTTAATGCCTACACCATATCCAACACTCCTCACATGACCCAGATGCTCTGGCTTGCCTGTAGCAACTACTAAGATATCATTTCTACCCTCTGGAGTGAAGCTTCCTTGGGCTTGTTGCTCCTTAAGAGCATCCTATAATATAAAATAACAATATTAATTGATAATATATACAATTGTATAGAAATTTAAAGGGACAAGGAATAATAATTTTACTTGTAATCCTCTGGCAATCTCCCGTGCTGTCTCACTTGTATAGCCTCCTTTCTTGTACTGATGTCCATATCTCCATTTCTCCTCTCGAGAGACAGGTGATGGTGGAGAAAGGAGTATGGAAGGATCAGACTTGACTTCTTCTTCTCTCTTCTTCTGTTTTTCTACCATCAGTAATCATCAGCTCTATCATAACCACCATGAGACAGAGTATGGGGGCATTGATTCTGTCGAGCAATTTCTCACCCTTTAGCTCATTTTTCCTATTAATAAATTAATTTTAGATTTTATAATTGAAGTAAATCTAAATAAAACTTAAATAAATTAAAAATCAACAAACCATAGCCTTTTCAAAAGTCCAAATCCTGACAAATTCTTCCCAAGTATCTTCATCAAGGAATTGGTATGTATCAAGAGGATTGGGACGAGCCTAACCCTCTGGCACCTCGATAAAGATATATCTTCGAGCAAGATCAATCTTAAAATTTCTCCAACATGTTTCACATAAGAAATCAACTTGTGTCGACAATCTTGATTAGATGAAACATCATATGTGAGCTACAATGAAGACATCAGATAATAATTAATAATTGCCCAATAATATATAACCATAAAAAATTTTAATTTTTAATTATTTACCTGAATAGTTTCCCAAATCTGTTCCTTTACACGTTCTGGCACATCAGGCCAGTCCTCAAACACAATACGAGTCTTGGTATGTGATAGGAGGCCAAGAAAACTAACAAACTTGGCTTTATGTGGCCCTATCGGATTTCATCTCTGGTCAAATTGAATTAGTAACCTACGCCCAGCACTCCTACTTAAAGTCAGATCTCTCAATCGTGTGCCACGTCTCCCCCTCCTCACAGACTGGCTTTGACTCGGCTCCTCACTAGAAGTAACATCACCAATTGATTGGCTTGTAGTGGGCTGGCTCTGAGTGTCATCACCTTGATTCTCCATATTCCTATTAATTCAAATAAATGAAATTAATTAAAAAATAATAAAAGATAAGATAATTAAGAAAAACAATCCCACAACATAAATTTAATTGAACTAAATTAACATACTTTAATTTCAAAACTAAACTCATATAGGGATATTCTCCCATATCCCTTCATGGTGATCACTTCTTATGGCATGTTCATCATCTACTTCATCTACCACATCCAAAATTGGTAGCCCACTTGAGAAGTTAGGAGTTTCAAAAATATCAAAATTTGATTCATGATCATCATTACTATCAATCATCCTTTTTCCTTTAAGTGCTATTGACCAATTTTTATTTGCTGGATCCGTGACATAGAAAACTTATTTAGCTTGGTCTGCCATAATAAATGGCTCATCTCCAAAAGTTAGTTTTTTAAGATCAACCATTGTAAATCCAAACTTATCATCACAAATACTATTGACGTCAACCCACTTGCATTTAAAAACAAGAACTCTAAATTTTGTATAATTAACCTCCCAAATCTCTTCAATAACCCTAAAGTAAGTCCTGGATACTAGTTTAGGTTTCTTATCTTTTGAACTAGAGAAGTGTATGGCTTCAGCCATTATCATAACTCCACTATTTTGTACCGTAATCTTCTCATCCAAGGACTTTGTATAAAAGAATACCCATTAATATCATAGGCACTCCAACATATAACATCAAAGTTAGGACCTCTAGCCAACCATTTAACTGTTTTAGAAACACCACTTTCATTCAAAATTTTCGACTTGAACCAATTCACAAAAGTCTTATTATACTCTTTCAACAACTTTTATTCTGTCATTCTCATTTGATAATTTTTTGCCTTTTAAAGTTCTTTATGAGAAGATATGTAATCTTTAACTTCATCAATATTATTCAAGATATATAAATGTACTTCTTGTAATTCATCATGATTCATGCTCTTTACTGATACTCTACATATGCCTTGACCATATTGCCTTTTCTCATGATGAGATTTAGGAAGTCCAATTGATTCTGTACTTGACAAGTAATCAGAACAAAACCCCATAGCTTCTTCAGCAATAAATTTCTCAACTATCGATGCTTCGGGTCGAAATGGATTTATGACATACCCTTTCAGTATTTTCATGTATCTCTCAACTAGGTACATCCATCGCAAATAAACAGGACCACACAATTTTACCTCCCTTACTAGATGCACTATTAAGTGAACCATTATGTCAAAAAAATGTAGGAAGAAAGTGCATCTCAAGTTGGCATAAGATAGTATATGCTTCTTGTTCTAACTCTTCCAGTTTACAGGGATCAATAACTTTACTGCATATAGCATTGAAAAAGAAACAAAGTCTAGTTATTGTAAGTCTTAAATCTTCTTTCAATATGCCTTAAATAGCCAAAGGTAATAGCTGTTGCATCAAGACATGGTAATCATGAGATTTTAAGCCTACCAGTTTCAACTCTTTCACAAACACAAGCTTCAGAATATTTGAAGAATACCCCAAAGGAACTTTGATTCTATGTAAATACTCATAAAAACTTGTTTTCTCAAATTTGCACAATGTATGAGAGGCTGGGGGACAATAAGTTCGTTTACCTTCTGGTCTCGGGTGTAAGTCTTCCCGTATTCCCATTTCTTTCAAATCCAATCTTGCATTCACACCATCCTTAGTCTTACCTGGTATGTTTAGAAGCATTCCAATAATACTATCACACACATTTTTCTCCATGTGCATAACATCAATACAATGCCTTACTTCAAGATTGTGCCAATATAGGAGGTAAAAAAAGATAGACTTTTTTTCCATATGCTTTTTACACCAGTATTCTTTTTAGTGTTACCAAAGACAATATTAATGTTTTTCACACGTTCATACACTTGATCCCCAGTCAAAGCATCCAGAGCGTCATTGTGTTCTTGGTGACTATGAAAAGCTTTCTTCAATCTTCGATGTAGGTGATCTCGTCTAAGAAACCTCCAATGGCCAAGGTAGACTGTTTTCCTTCCATGTTGATGTTGATGGTAGTTTGTGCTTTCTTCACAAATTGGACAAGCTTTATGACCTTTCACGCTATAACCAGACAAATTTTCATATGCAGGAAAATATTTATAGTACAAAAGATCATAGCATGTAACTTAAAATTCTCCTTTTGATTTGCATCAAATACTTCCACACCTACCTCCCACAACACTTTCAAATCTTCAATCAGAGGTCTTAGGTAAATATCAATATCATTTCCCGGTTGTTTTGGTCTCAAAATCAACATGGATAGCATCATGTACTTCTGTTTCATGCATAACCTAGGTGATAGATTGTAAATCACCAAAAGAACAGGCCATGAACTATGTATACTACTAAGACTACCATAAGGATTCATTCTATCGGTAGAAAGTCCAAGCTTCAAGTTCCTTGGCTCATTGCCAAATTCGAGAAATAATTGATCAATTTTCTTCCATTGAGGAGAATCAGCTGGATGTTGAAGTTTTCCATCTGATATCCTCTCATTTACATGCCACATCAAGTTCTTTGCATCATTCGTATTTGCAAACAAACGCTTGAAACTTGGTATAATTAGAAGATACCATAAGACCTTTATAGGAGCCCCCTTTTCTTTGTACCGTGGTGCCTCACATTTCGGACACTTCTCCTCCCCTTCAAGCTCTTTTCTATACAACACACAATCATTAGGACATACATGTATTTTTTTTATACTTTATACCCATTGGACACAAGATCTTCTTGGCATCATAATAACGATTTGGTAGTACATTGCCTTTCAAAAACATTATTTGAAGTAACTCTAACAACCATGTGAAACTTTAATCACTCTACCCAGCTTTGGCCTTAAGGTAACTAGTTTTAACACCCCAGATAACAAACTAAAATTAGTGTACCCTGGGTATAGAGGCTTCTCTGCGTCAGTGTATAAGTTATCATATACATGTTCTCGTTCAAAAGCCTCTTCCTTAACATCACAGATCATGTCCTCTAACCGATCTTCATTCATTTCTACTTCATCATCAAGATTATCAACTCCCACACATTGAGATGTGTTACTATAATTTTCCAATGGTTCATCATGCCAAATCCATATTGTATAATTTTTGCAAATCCTATCACAAACTAAGTGCTCTCTTATATCGGCAACACCTAGTCTCCTCTCATTCAAACAATTAACACAAGGACAATAGAACCTTTCACTATTGTCAACAGCATTTTTCTTAGCAAATTTTAAAAATTCTTTCACCCCATTATCATACTCGTCACTCGTTCGTCTAGCATTCATCCAACTACGATCCATGTGTCACCTCCTAAAGAATATAACTAATGTTATTACCTTCAAACTATTTCAAGAAACTAAGTTCCTAATTAAATTAAGATTTGAAAAAATTTTGCAGAGTCTCTCTAAAAATTGAATCTCCTAAGACTTTTAAAAAAATTTACAAGAGAAAATTGACAATTTTAAACCAAATAAATGATCACATGCAACAACTTGAGGCCTTATAAAGCCACTAACAGCACTCCCAGCAATATCAATATCATTAAAAACTAAATTTAAGCAAATTAGAGGAAAGAATGAATTTTAAAAAAATTTCGACAGAGTCTCACCTAAAAATTGGACTTCCCAAAAGTTTTAGAAAATTTTACACGAGAAAATTGACAATTTTAAACCAAATAAATGATCACATGCAACAACCTGAGGCCTTATAAAGCCACTAACAACACTTTCAGCAACAATCAATATCATTAAAAACTAAATTTAAGCATTATAAAATTTAAAAATTTATATTCAACACATACCTAGGTGGCGGCAGCTGCAGCAATGGCCCAACACTAAGAGAATGAGGAAGGGAGAAGGAGTGGTGGCAGGGCAGAGGTACTGAGGAGGGGGGCAAGAGGGAGGGAGAAGGGGAGGGGGGCGGTGAGGGAGGGTTTGGGAGAGGGGATGAGGGGGAAGGGGCGGCTGAGGGAGGGGGAGTGGGCGGTCGGACGAGGGGGAAAGGGAGGAGGGGGAGGGGGAAGGGGTGGGCGAGGGGACGAGGGAGAGGGGGAGGGGACGGCAAGATGAGGGGGAGGGGGACGAGGGGGAAGGGGAGTGGGCGGCGGGATGAGGGGAAGAGGGAGGAGGGGGAGAGGGACTGGCGAGGCAGGGGACGAGGGGGAGGGGGCGGTGAGGGAAGGGGAGATGAGGGGGAGGGCACGAGAGGGAGGAGAGGGAACTGATGAATGGGGAAGGGGAGTAGGATTTTAAAAAACACTTTTTTACACCGGGTGGCATGCCCCTCCTCCTCCATTCATCAGTTGCCACCCGGTGTAAAAAGTCTACTTTTTACATCGGATGGGTAATGAATGGAGGAAGGGGAGTAGGATTTAAAAAACACTTTTTACACCGGGTGTATGGCCACCCGGTGTAAAAGGTCTACTTTTTACACCAGGTGTTATTGGCCACCCGGTGTAAAAAGCTTTTTACACCGAGTTCACCCACCCCTATAAAAAGTAGACTTTTTACACCGGATGGCCAGACACCTGGTGTAAAAAGTGTTAAATAATTCAATATAATTACAAAAATACCACCGCCTTTATTTTTTACACCGTTTGCCTTCCAACTGATGTAAAAAGTACCTCGTAAATTTTATATTTTGTACTAGTGCAAATATGTATCCTTTCCAATCCCCTCATAACAACTCTAGCATTTAAATATTTTCTCAACAAGGTATCGATCTCCAAGAATTCCAATAATCATATATTATTAATTTCATAACTAAATGTTCTTGGAATTTTTCAAGTTAAATTTATAGATTAATAACTTATAAACTAACTCTACTTCCCACAAGAATAGGTGAAATTTCAAAATCAAAATCAATTCTTCTAACAAGCATCTTATAAATACTAATCTCCCATTATCATATCTAACTTTTTCTCTTCTAACTTCATTCTACCAAATTCTTCAATATCAATCATTCCAACCAAGTTAATTTATCCTATAAATTATGACCATATATGTAGATTAGTATCAAGCTTTAAGATGGATTTTTAGCTCAACATTTGAATTTCTTATTCTTTAAAACACACAGACAGCAACCAAACACACCACAATTCTATAGCTTTAACCATTAAAAATGCCCGCACAGTATTAACAAAATGAAGGGTGTAAAATTTCAGACATGAATCAGTAACCATAAAGAAGAGAAAAAGAAGAAAGCTGATTGAAACTAAGGAAGAAAAATTCATGCACTAACAGCAGCGTCTACAGGATATAATTTTTCAGCATCAGCTCTACCTCTTTATCTATTCACATGTACAAAAATTTTTCCAATGATAAGAGATAAGATTAAGTTTCTAACCTTAAAGGTCCCACATGCATGACCAGAGGAAGAAAGAAATCTTAGCTCACTTAATCAATTACACATGCACGAAACAAGAAGAAGAAAGGAAGAGAAGTTGAACATACTTGAGATAGTAACAGAGGAGGAAGAGCAATGATGAAACAAAGGAAGAACTCACAATTGTAGAGGAAGAACCAGTGACCGGCACACTGGCGACGGCGAAGGCAACTCATACGAACAGTGCACAACCAATGATTGAGAAGGGAGGAGGCAGTAGTCAATGGAAGACAGAGCAAGGGTTTGGCATCAGCTTTCTAACTCTCTCTTTGCTCCCCTAGAATGTTCAAAGAAGGCCATAAAAAGAAAAAGAATCTGATAAAGATGAGGGTAAATTTGTAATTTCATAAAGTATAAAAATAAAATAAAAACTCCTTAGGCCCTGATCAAATTCGAACTTAAGACCATTTTGATGGACTATCTAAATGGTTTTCACTACACCAACTTCTCTTCTGGTCATACTTATCCCAAGAATTAATATAATTACTATTAAAACATAAACTTATATATATATATATATATTTAATTTTATATAAAATTCATGGGTCATTGCATAAAATAATATCAAGTTTTCAATTGTTAGAAACATAGGGATCCCAAGTTTACAAAACTAAAACCATTTTCAAAGTCATACAATTAGACAAATTAAAGTTTACAAATATACAGAAGCATGGGATCATTCGAAACATGAGTACGTTTGATTAAGAATTAGAAAACTATAAAATTTTAAAAATTTTTAGGGCATATGTTGTGGCTTATCGAACATGTGCTGCAGCATGTTTGCTTCTATGACATCTGCTACGGCACAATTACATGAATTTTGATAGTAAATTTTACTGTCAATTTGACAGCTTTTGAGGTAACTTATGACGCATCTTAATTCTCAGTTCAATGTCTGATTGACGCAAATTAAGTGTCTACAAAAAGCTCTTTTCAAGCTGTAACTAATGGCTTTGGTTTCATAATCAAATTATTACTCAATCAAAATTTAGACACTTTTTTCAAAACTTACACTTTTTTAGCACTTTTCATAAAACCAAGTGTCCAAATCAATTTTCAAAAGCCAATAGTCATTGACACCAATTTGACCATATGCAACTCATCAAGACTAACTCGTGCAATGTACTAGATCACATAAAATACTCATAGATCAAATTTTCACTATTCAATCCCTTAATCTTAAAAAAAACATAACAGGGAGAGTTTAACACAATTTTCATCAAAAAATCCATGTTTAACACATAATACTCTACTCTTACTTACATTAGTATTTTGGCCCTATTACAAATCACATATATCATTAACTCACTCTCTAGGACCCAAAATACACTTACAATTCACAATTCACATAATGCAAGTAAAGATCAAAATGAGAAATCCTAAGTTGGCAATGAAAATTGTCACACACATATAAATACTCAAAATAAAGAGGCCTACTACAATAGGATCATAGTCTTAAGCCTCTGGGTGTTTTCCTCTATCTATACCTCTTGAGTTATTCCCTATAATATTGAAGATAGTAGGGTGAGTGCAACTACTCAGTAACTAAGGTCTAACTAACCCATACTAATGCATGTCAATTAGTTTAAATGCAAGTAGCGAATAGTATCAATACTTTAAACTATGTAAAATATTTGAGAATCTATATTCACTCTTCCAAGCATAATAGTACATGGGAAATAAAACTTTTCAACAATCTTCACATCCCAAAAAGTTTATCATACAATACAATCACACATAATCAAGAGTGATTATAACTCAATTTATGAATATTCTCATTAGGGTCACAATACATACAATCATGTGCCCTTACTCACTATATGCATGATTGCACCTCCCTTATATCCTCCTTATTCCTCTGACATGAAACCGTGGGCTATAACACAATGGGATAGTCTATAATCCATGACTTCCTAGCCTAAACACTTGTGAGGGAATTACCCAGTCATGGCACACCCAACGTATTTATGGAACACGGTTTCTCTCATTTCTCACACTATAGGGTGTCATATACCCTAGACCAGCTTCTTCATTGAACCGGTGGATAGCTAGCGAGGTTCGAGTCTCTCGTTGAATTAGTGGGACAATAAGAATAAAATCAATCCGAGCAAGCCATCACTCAGATGGGCCACATGGATTTTTATTCCTTACTCCTCTTCTTAAGCGAACTCTCGCCTCTCAAGATCATGCAATGTATATTCATGCAAAATTTACATCTAACTTAATTCATAAGACTCCACATAACTAATTTCATTGAACTTCTCCATTTTTTACAAATCATTAAACTTCTTAAACACATTTTCATTAAACTCCAAATCACACAAGTCATTGAACTCCAATTCAAACAAATAGTTGAATTCCAAGTTTAAAAATCATTGAACTTTACACATTCACTATCATTGAACTCCACACATTTTAAAATTGTTGAACTTCTATCAACTTATATTATTGAACTTCTATTTTCATAATCATGGTGCCTCATACTTTGGAAAAACATTAAACTTTACAATTTCAAAATCATTGAACATACATTAAATCTTCACTTTTTAGTAGGCTTTTTCAAGCAAAGAAAGCCACATTTGTATTTCAATCAATTTCACATAATTCAATCATCATTTATAAATCAATAACTAATAAACACACAGTTCAAGTTAGAATTCCCCTAGTTACCTCAAACCTTTGAGAAGTCAAAGGTTTCACCCTTTAATTACTAATTCCCAATGCTTTCAAGAAGCTCGAATGGTACTAATAGTAGTCACTCTACAAGAATTTACCATGCAAATCATTGATATTCAAATTTGAGCTACTTTTCACTAACACTTCAACATTTCTTAATACTCAAGATTCACTCTTGACTCATGCAAAAGTACCCATAAGATTTCTTAGCCTCTTTTAACTCTCATTAATATTATTGAGCCCTTTAATGGTCATTAATGGGACCATATTGTTTCCAACCACCATATTTATGGGAATTTTTGGGCAATTAATGTCCTCCAACCACCAATCCTCATATAATCATAAATACCAACTTTACTTAGCTCATTATACTCCCATTAACTCTATTTAAGTCAGTGAGTTTAGACCCATAGCCTCTATGGATCAAAAATCACCATTATCAATTAATCCCTAACTTCTTTTAATTTATTTTTATTTTCAATAGATTTTTACTAAAATACTTTTGTCACACCCCAATATTGAGGGTGTAACTAGTATAAATATAAGATAAACTTACATTTAGAAAGCCTTAATTTACTAAAAAATTAATTCAAGATAATGATATATAATTTATGTTTAAATTTAAAGTTAGTAAAGTTTTAACCATTCTATAAAAATTTTAGCAGAATCTCCCCTGTAATTAAGACCTCCCGAAATCTTTATGATAAGAAAAACCTATCAGCCAAGCTAGAAATGAGCTTAGCTCCAAACTAGCAAATTTTCACAATAATAAAGTAAGGGCAAGACCTAACTAGGGTATATGTGAAGCACTAAGTTAACATTTCATAATACAAAATATAGAGTAACTAACGCATG